CGAGATAGGTCGCATACATGGCGGTTTAGGGTAACTAGTCTATGGTCTACGTGCGCTGAAGTCTAGGAGGGTCTTCCAGTGATGCGTCGTGGACCGTGGCAGTGTCTTGGAGCCGAAGAAGCCTTGGGCGTTGTCCGGCTGCTCTATTCTAACACTTTGCATGTCAGGCTGGGTCGGCTTGGACCGGCCTTCCCTAGGTGGACCGTCTGGAGTCTTCTTGGTGGCGAAGGAGGTCGGCTCTAGGGGCTGACGTGCGGGCCCGAAAGCCCCGAGCCCCTGGAGGCCGAGGGAAAGCTTTGTCTTCTTGTGTCACGCCCCGGATGTGACGTTGTCGGGGGCGCAGTTTATAGGGCCGTGCCTAGGGAGTGGCACCAGGGAGCTCCCGAGCATCAGTAGCCCGGGTCTTGTCTTCTTGTGCCCGGGCCTTGGCTGGCGTCATTAGCCGGGTAGGAGCCAAGGGCCGGGCCAGGATGCGCCATAGATTGGATGCCCGGGGCTCGGGCGAGCCCTCGAACCCTAGGTGGAGGTCGCGGCCAAGTTAGGCTTGGCCGCGTCTTTTTGCCAGAGGGTGCACGCGAGCGTGCTAGATGGGCATAGCCCCCGAGCCCCCGGGCAATCCTAAAATGGTCGGGGGTCTTCTTCGGTCGGGAACCATTGGACCTGAGGCTTAATATACCTATATGTTAGGATCTCGTCAGTCATCTTAAGGAGCCCATCTCCGTAAATCTATTTTCGGAGGCGGGCACACTACAAGGCCCGTCTCCGTAAATACATGTCCATCTCACAAAAGCCCATATCATTCCTTGTACTGAGCTCATATATAAGCGAGATACTTAGGGTTTCTCTCCCTCACTCCTGAGCCCCTCCCCACAACAGCCGCCGTGCCCTCTGCCTCCCTCGAGCCTGCACCCCTCTCCTTCACAATTCCTGATTCCCTCCCTCCCCACAACCGCCGGCCCATGTCCCTCACTCCCGAGCCCATCCCTCTCCCTCCTCCCTCGAACTCCTCCCCTAGCGGCGGCCGTGCTCCCTCCTCCCCCGAGCTGCTCCACCAGCGATGGCACTCCCCAGGCGACGACCGGAGCACTCTCCTCCCCAACCTGCTCCATCGGCGGCGGCGCTCCCCCGGTGGCTGGCGCGCCCTCCTCCCCCGAGCTGCTCCATCGGCGGTCGACGTGGGGTTTGGCGGCGTAGGTCCGCGGGCGGGGCACGGCAAAGATAGATCAGTTCTCCCCGTCTACCTCTCTCTTCCTCTCTTCATATCCCTCACTCATCCCTCCCTCCTCTTTGTAGATCTGCAGCCGGTCGGTCCTTCTCCGGCGACGGCGGGTCCAGATCACTACAAGAAAACATTCTTTCTATGACAATAATCCTCATCACGGGGCAAATTTTTGTCATATAACATATCATAATATGACGCAAAACTCTGTAGCGTCATAAAATCAGGACAGTCAGAACTATATATGACGACACTATTTGTTTTGTCACATAAAGGTACCAAGGGTCGTCACAAAATATAAATCCCCAGGAGCCGGTTAACGATAGCGTTTTTATGACGATATGTGGAGTTTTTATGTGACGGCTATGGAGCATCACTGATTGTCATTTCAAATATGACAGCCCCCAACGTCAATGTCCCCCTAATAGGAGCTAGACCCTTGACCCCTGTCCGTTGACCAGTTTTATTCGCTCCCCATCTCCCCAACTGACGACGGTGGCCTCTAGGCGGAGCCAGCGCGCAGATCTGCTACAGTCCGACCGACGGAGCGCGGATCTCTGGTGACCTGTGGTGGCTCCATCTCGCGGTCAGCCACGGCGGGGAGCCTCGAGCTAGATGCGGCAGCGTGGACGCGACGGCAGCGGGCTCGATTGGGCTCGACTCGACAACCGTCTCCGTAAAGTCACGATTAACTGTGACCTTTGATTGGAGACGGTTGCAATGCCCGCCTCCATTAACATTTTTTGCCCACCTCTAATAAGATTTATGTAGTAGTGAGCGGAGAGAATAATGGGAGGAGGAAAAAATCGGAAGAGGGGGGGGGCACTCGTGCGGTAGGACAATTAAGTTGGTTACATAATAGCTAAACGGATTGTGGCTGAGAGATTTATGTAAAAGTTGTGTCATCTATTCTAATATATCCTATCGTTGGACATACATACGCTCGTGGTTTGACTCATATGAAAACTTAAGTTGTGAGTTCAGGTCACATACGAATCAGAAGAAACACGAGAGCAGGCACTATGAAAAATGAAAAAGAGGAACAAAAGAATAACGTCATTTTAATATTAGATATAGATATGATATGAATATCGATAGATGGATAGATAGAGAAAATGAAGGTCCCGGCGACCCAATTGTGATGCATCGTGCGATGATGCCCGATTACGTTGGGGACTGCAGGATGGCTCGATCGAGATGCAGATATATGTTGCGCGCATGGTCCAGCAGCAGGAGCAGCTAGCTGCACCTACATGTCATGTCATATATAACAAATTATTAATGGACATGAGTGATGAGAGAGATAGAGAAGAGTGCGAGAGGAGCTGGGCCTTGTTGGGAGTTAGGATCGGTACGTGGCACTGTAATATTTTCGTTTATATTTAACAATTATTGTTTAATCATAATTTAATTAGACTCAAAAGATTCGTCTCGTAATTTACAATTAAACTATGTAATTAGTTATTTTTTTATCTATATTTAATACTTCGTGTGTCTAAAGACTTGATGTGACGAAAAAAATAAAAAAACTTGCAATCTAACCACCGCAGGTTGCAGGCAGCAGGCCGGCCGGGGCTCCTCCTAGTCCTAGCTCCTCGGATGCATGCTAATGTCTGTTTTTACCGGCGGTTTGGTAGGGATTCTCTGCCGCTCCGGGAGCTCTTTTGCGGCTCTCACAGCCAAACGCTAAAAAACGGAAGGGCTCCGAGCGAGGAGCTCCTGAAATCGCGCTGAGACAGACGAGGAGCGAGGAGCGAGGAGCGGGAAGGGACGACGTCGCGGCGCGCGGCGAGGGGCGTAGGTGGAGAGGCCGCGCAAGGACGAGCGGAGATGGTGCAAGGATGGCTGGCCGCGGAGGCGCACGGAAGGGCTCCGGCCACAAAGGCAGGGCACAGAGGCGCATGCGTGGAGGGAGTGAGGGAGGGCGTACGGGCGGGTAGGGCGGAGCCGGCGCGGGCGGAGATGCGGGGCGTACGCGAGCGTCGAGGGAGGAGATAAGGTTGAAGGAGATACGGTTTGCTTCGTACACGTGAGCGGTGAGAAGATAAGGTTGGAAGAGAAAAAAAAAAGAGAAAAAAAGGTATTAGAGATATTTCAGCCTTTTAGACTTACTTAAATAAATCTGCTCCATAGATAAAGCCATAATTGAAGCTATTTTAATTTAAACCGAAGCTCTACTAACCCTACATGTACTGTGTGCAAGTGTACTGCATGCATGGTAATAGGTGCGAGGCAATGCAAGCTGCAAAGCATTTATATATATATATATATATATATATATATATATATATATATATATATATATATATATATATATATATATATATATATATATATATATATATATATATATATATATATATATATATATATATATATATATATATATATATGCTGGTACCTAGGGATGGAGCCGGCCAGCTGTACAAGGCATGGGTAGCTTTTGCATTTGCACGCCACCGACCAGCGGTAGCTAGCTTAGCTAGTAGCTACCTAGAGCTCTTCTTCTTCGTCCACCCCAGTCGTCCAACAGTCCACACCGGCCGGCCTGCACTGCAAATCTGCAATGGCGGCGCCACTTGCTGCATCAGCAGAGGCGGCTCTTCTTCTCCTAGTATTATCGGTTCTCGCCGCGGTGGCGCCGAGATGCGGCGATGCGCTGAGCCTGGATTTGTACGACGAGAGCTGCCCGGAGGCGGAGGCGGCGGTGACGGCGGCCGTGCGGCAGGCCATGGCCAACGACCGCACCGTGGCGGCCGGGCTCCTCCGAATGCATTTCCACGACTGCTTCGTCAGGGTACGTAGGTCCATCGATCTCTCTCCTTGCGTGCATTGCATTGCTCTGCTGTCTCGATCTGAAATCCGGCAGGCCGGCCGGCAAATATAATGGCATGCACGCTGACGACGCAGGGCTGCGACGGCTCCGTTCTGCTGGACTCGACGGCCAACGTGACGGCGGAGAAGGACGGCCCGCCCAACGTGTCGCTGCACGCCTTCTACGTCATCGACAACGCCAAGCGGGCCGTGGAGGCCCTCTGCCCCGGCGTCGTCTCCTGCGCCGACATCCTCGCGCTCGCCGCAAGGGACGCCGTCGCGCTGGTATGTACTTGTACTGTAATGCATGTAAAGATGCTGCTGGAGTCGCCCTGTTCGCTTCAATTTAATAGACGGACTTATTAGTGGTAGTATATTATTTTTTTCTCACAATAAAATAGCATCAGTCCAGTTTATTAGCTGTAAAAATCACCAGGCGAATAGCTCATCAAGCTGACGTACTAAATTCATTTTAAATTATAGTTCGTTTAATTTTTTTACTCTAAGTTTGGCCACTTGTCATGTTCAAAAATTTGTATAAAATATTAGTTCTTTTGTTGTGACTTGTTTTATTAACAAAAGTTCTTCAAGAATAATTTAATTTTAACTATGTTTATATAAATTTTTTGAATAAGACGAGTAATTAAATTTGAGATAAAAAAAGTTAAACAACTGTAATTTGGAACGGATAAAGTATCGGCTACGAGTATATAGTACGTACTGTGGTGGTTGGGTATGTACTACGTGGTACAATGTAAGTAGTACAGTACTAGTACTTAGCTTGCATGCATTGGGTGGGTAAATTATATTAACACGGCAGGTCCGCATGCAGTCTTTTTGTCATCATGCTCTCAAGTCTGAACGAACCAATGCAACGATCGAGTCACATGCTTGCGTCTCTAGCCATCGAGCTGCATCGACCGAGCTGTCGTCTTAACTTGTCGTAACGTGCTCGGAGTCTCGCTCGATGTGTCTCGATGCTCGACCAACAGCACAGGTATGCAGATGCAGCAGCCACGGCAGGGTGGGTGTCACGCACTCTGTTCTGTTGTCGTACGTGCACTCACTCATGCTGCATGTACATGATGATCCCCAAGTACAGATTAATTATTTTTTGCATTATTATTGCATTTATTTTGCTGAGTGCTGACCATCGAGCACGCAACGCAACGCGTGCAGTCCGGTGGTCCGTGGTGGGTGGTGGCCGTGGGGCGGCGGGACGGGCGCTTCTCCCTGGCCAACGAGACGACGGCGCTGCCGGGGCCGACGGCCAGCTTCGAGCAGCTGAAGCAGGCGTTCCACGGCCGCGGGCTGTCCACCAAGGACCTGGTGGCGCTGTCGGGCGCCCACACCCTGGGCTTCGCGCACTGCTCCTCCTTCCAGAACCGCATCCGGGTCCCCGCCTTCCAGGGCGCCGCCGACCCTTCCCTGAGCCCCTCCTTCGCCGCCGCCCTCCGCCGTGCGTGCCCCGCCAACAACACCGTCCGGGCCGCCGGGTCCGGCCTGGACGCCACCTCCGCGGCCTTCGACAACACCTACTACCGGATGCTGCAGGCCGGCCGGGGGCTGCTCTCCTCCGACGAGGCGCTGCTCACGCACCCCAAGACGCGCGCCTTCGTCGCGCTCTACGCCGCGTCGCAGGAGGCCTTCTTCAGGGCCTTTGCAAAGTCCATGCTGCGGATGGCCGCGCTCAACGGAGGCGACGAGGTGCGAGCCAACTGCAGGCGCGTCAACTCATCATGATCCGGCCCATCCCATCAGATCCATCGCCTATATACGTTGTATTGTACGTGCCTAAGCTGCTGTCTGTGTACCATTATATTCGTCAGTGTTTGACGATCATCGATCAATCGCCGACCCAAAGCCAGAGGCCCATATGGGCTGGGATAAAAAAAAAACTACTTCGGTACGAGTCTTTCAGAAAGTCGTACTAATCTTGAAGTAAACCCCACATTAGATTAAGAGCTAGTGTGATCTGTGGCATGTACATATATAATGCCCTTATGGGGGCCTAATGCAAACCAGCCCTATATGCAACAAAAATATATGTAAAATGTGTTTGTTGTTTGATTGTTTTCCATACTTTTGTCCAGGCGAACCATCCGATAGAATCACAGCGAAAGCACTAAGATCCAATCCCAAGTTTGTCGAGAACAGATCGGACCAAAGCTTCGTGGAAGAATTGTTGTTCCTAAGAACCTCTAGAACACATGTACAAAAGCTACATTGGTGGATTTTGTGCAAGTGTGAGCTTTACTAGGCCAATAATGGCTACCTACTATATATTTAGGGATGAAACCTATGGTTAATTAAGCCTCTAAGGTTGGCCAAAAACTTACTCAAACTCGATCAAAACCCAAGCCTGGGTCCTCGGTTGGTGTAGGGGGTCTGAGTGGACTCCTTCACCATCGATGCTAGCTAGACAGGGGAGCATTCCCTGTTCCACCCGAGCAAGGGGTGATGCAGCTCATGAAGTCTTCTTGGCCGCCTCCTCCTCCTTTCTCTTCCCCTTCCTCCTCCATTCTTGGTTTTTGGCTTAGAGAGAGAGAGAGAGAGTGGGAATGGAGATAGAGAGAGAGGTTTGTGTTATTTTGTCTTCCGCCTGGTAGATGAGATTGAAATCTCCCAGGATGAGCCATCTATTGTGGACCGGCGGTGGAATGTTCTTCAATTCTTGGAGTGAAGTTTAGCTGCCTCTCCCTGCGGGCCGTATACCACTGTAATTTGCCACCTTGTTCCATCGGCCCTCATGTTGATCTGCGCGGTTATGGTGTTCGAGGTAAGTACAATGTCGGAGAGGTCGAAGAAGTCTTCATTCACCGCAAGGAAGACACCTCCTCGAGTCTGTTCCGCCGGTAGCACCGTATAGGAGTTTACAAATTTCGCTCCGACTGTTCGGCGTACCACATTATGATCCATAACCTGCATCTTTGTTTCCTGTAGGCATACAACGGTTGCAGCAGTGGTTCTCACTAACTCGCACACCGAGTCCTGTCGTGCTCCGTCATTCAAGCCCCTGACGTTCCAGTTAAGTATGTTGCAATTCAATTGTGCCATAAGGAAACCAACTGGTCCCTTTTTAAAAATAGTCTGAGGAGGGAGGCAAGCATGGCGCCACCAAGGGCTATTGAACTGGCAATTAGCAGTAAGATAATGACACGGAGGCATGGATTCATGAGAGCTGCAAGCTGAAGACGTCGATACATCTAAAAGGCAGCGGCCGTCGGCAGAGCGACACAAAGCAAAAGTTTGCTGCTCACAGAGGTAATGCTACAGCTAACTGCGAGATGGAGGGTCCAAGCAGTTTGGTGGGGAGACGATTGAAGGCCTCTGGCTGTCGCCCCGCCCAAACACCATAGCTGGACAAACACAAAAGATGTGGAGCTCCCTGAGCTCCCGTAGCGGTGCACGATTACTAACATAGTCTAATAACCTACCCCTGCAACACAGTAGCTATCTAGGCGCTGGTGGTGGGCAGCGTTGCCGCTGCGTCGAGGCCACACAGTGCCGTCAGTGCCTTGACAGTGTCATCAGCGAGCGGTCCTTTGAACAGGTTGAAGTAGCGCAGCATCGCCTCGTCATGGCTGAGGCCTTGGACGTCGAGGATGCCAAGCCTTTTCATAAGCACTTGTCTGGCCTTCGCCTGGGTGTCCCCCCTCGGCCAGATCTTGGCCGCAATGCGCACGCTCCTGCGTGCTGGGACCGGGGGCCTCTTGCGTCGCTGTGGCGGGCTGGGCTGGCACATTGGACCCTGCAAAATGGGTTGAGGCAAAGGTTGTGAGATCCCCTTTAGGAACTATGACACCGCCGCTGCAGTGTGCGTTGTGCTCTGGCCAGCGTCGTCGTGTACCGCCGGGGTGCTGGTGTGATAGACGCTGGTCTGGCCCTGTTGCTGCTGGTGGAGTCCATCTGTCATGCGTCGACTGCGCGAACAGTTGGTGGGCATTCCGTAGGCGCAGCGTCTGGAGTAGACGAGCCCAGGGCGGAAGCGCACCACCTGGTTGTGCATGCTTCCGATGCGGGGGGAGGACACATGGCCGCCTGGAGTAGACTCGCCCCTTGCTGAAGCGACGCTCCGCAGCGAGGCGTGATCGCTGCGGTGTCGCATTGTCGTGGTCGCTGATGGGAGGACCTTGCAGTTCATTTAGGCAAGAGAGAATCACAGCGGTCGTCAGCGTCTCTGAAGATGAGGCGCTCGGTGGTGCGGGTGTGGACGGCGCTGCGGCATGCATTTAGAGCGATGATCGATCATTTGAGGCTCAAAGAAATCAAGCTAAATGGGCGCCGCTTCACTTGGAGCAATCAACAGGACAACCCGACGCTCACTAGAATCGACAGACTACTATGTACCACCGAGTGGGACCTACTCTTCCCCACGTGTTTCTTACACTCCCTCCCATCGCTCATGTCGGACCATACCCCTCTGCTACTCTAGAGAGAGCTTGACCACCATCACAGCACGTCCTTCTGCTTCGAAAATTACTAGACTAAGATGGAAGGATTTCATGACCTCGTCCATAATTCTTGGAATAGGCCGGTCGCCTTGGCTCTTCCTATGAAATGCTTGCATATCAAAATGGCGCGTGTGGCAAAAGCGATCAAGCGTTGGAAGAAAGACAAGATAGGGGATACGAGGATACAGCTCGCCACCGTGAAAGAAGTATTGTTACAATTAGAAGCAGCCCAAGAGCACTGGGCTCGCTGCTATTGAAAATCAAGAATCAGACAGAGATCGAGGCTAACTTACATCCGATGTGGAGATGCTAACACAAAATTCTTCCATAGTAGAGCCAATGCACGACGGAGAAAGAATTACATACATTGTCTACATACGGATGGGGGAATCGCGGTGGCCCATCAAGATAAAGAAAAGGTCATACATGATTATTTTAGAAACCACATTGGCTCCGTAGCGCCGAGAGCTTCCACAATCAACTGGCAATCCCTTGGCTATAATCAACATGATCTTTCTGATCTGGAGGTGCCTTTCTCCCAGGATGAGATAAAAAACACTGTATACTCCATGCCTTCTGACAAAGCGCCGGGACCGGATGGCTTCACGGGCGCCTTCTTCAAAGCTTGTTGGGAAACCATTAAAGATGATGTTATGGCAGCCATGAACAGCTTATTCACATTGAATGCTCAGGGTTTCGAATGGCTAAACTCGGCTTCCATTATCCTTCTACCCAAAAAACGGATGCAACAAAAGTTACTGACTTTAGACCCATCAGCCTAGTCCATGGCATTGCAAAGATCTTCTCCAAAGTGTTAGCTAACAGACTTGTCCCCCGACTCAACTCCCTCGTCTCGAACTGCCAGAGCGCATTTATAAAAAAGAGAAGCATCCATGATAATTTTCTGTACGTCCAGAGCACGGTCAAAAGACTACACAAGCAAAAGATTCCGGCTTTGTTCATGAAACTAGACATCCACAAAGCCTTTGATACAGTACATTGGGGGTGCTTGCTTGAGACGATGCAGGCTCTGGGCATCGGACAGCGATGGCGTGAATGGATCTCTATCCTCCTACGTACATCCTCCTCGACACCCATGCTGAATGGGCGACAGGGGGCCACCTTTAGCCAAGCCAGACGCGTCCGCCAGGGAGATCCGCTTTCACCGATGCTATTCATCCTAGCTATGGACCCGCTTCAACGTCTGCTTGACCTAGCAACTCAACAGGGGATACTCACCCCCTTACCAATCACGGCGGCTAAATGGAGAACCTCGATGTAAGCAGATGATGCCGCCATTTTCATCAGCCCCACAAAAGACGATGTAGAAGCTGTCAAAACCATCCTGCAGGCTTTTGGCACATTCTCGGGACTCCATATTAATCTACAGAAGAGCTCTGTGCATCCAATCGGTTGTGCAAACGTTGACCTAGACCAAGTACTGTCACCTTTCACCGGTACTAGAGGGGGCTTCCCATGCAAATATTTGGGGCTGCAACTCCACATTAGATCACTGCAAAGGATCCATGTGCAACCTCTCATAGACCGGATTGGGCACAGGCTACCCAAATGGAAAGGAAGATGGCTAAACAGAGCGGGACGCCTCACTCTTGTAACCTCTGTCCTCTCCTCCATGCCAACCTACCACCTGACAGTGTTTCCTCTCGCCGCTTGGGCTAAGAAGAAGATCGACAAAATTAGGAGATCTTTCTTGTGGAAGGGGGAGGAGAATGCAAATGGCGGGCACTGCCTAGTTAACTGGCAGACAGTTACCAGACCAAAAGACCTTGGCGATTTAGGCGTCCCTGACCTGGAGAGATTTGGGCGAGCTCTCCGGTTGTGATGGCTTTGGCAAGAATGGGTGGACGATTCCAAGCCTTGGAGCGGCTCGGAGCTCCCATGTTCTGATGATGACCGCCTCCTCTTCAACTCCTCAATCATTATATCTTGGGGGGTGGTGCAAAGACTAAGTTTTGGCACCACAGTTGGCTCGATGGACAAGCTCCTAAGTATCTAGCTCCAAACTTGTTCCGGCTAGTCTCAAGGACAAACCAAACGGTGCAAAAAGAGCTACGGAATAACAATTGGATGCATAAGCTAGGAAGGAAAATCACCTCGGCTACCCACATAGAGGAGTTTGTATCCCTCTGGATACGAATACAGGATGTGCACCTACAGCAGGGCATCCAGGACACCATCACCTGGCGTTGGACCAATGATGGGAATTACTCCACCCGCTCGGCCTACAGAATCCAATTCAGAAGTTCGCTACTCCCCTTCCGTACGGACTTGATTTGGAAAGCGCATGTGGAGAACAGATGCAAGATCTTCGCCTGGATCTTAGTGCAAAATAAAATTCTAACGGCACATAACCTACTAAAGAGAGGGTGGCCGCACCAACAACAATGTGTCCTGTGCAACGGTTCCTTAGAAACATGCCTCCACTTATGCCTTTGTTGCCCTTTTGCTAAGGCGGTTTAGGGCCAAATCCTATCGTGGAAAAACTTCACTCAACTGCAATAGCAGCTCCAGGTAGACCCCACCCATATCAAGTCATGGTGGGAAGACGCGGTAGCGAAAGTGCCAAGATATGAGCATAGGCGGCTGAACGGGGTAGTAATCTACACCTTCTGGAATATATGGAAAGAGAGAAATAGGAGAATTTTTGACAACTTGATAGAAACGGTGCTGCAAGTAGCCGCAAGGATAAAGGAAGACATACAGCAAAGGAAGAGAGCTCTTGAGTACGTTTAGCTCACATGTGTATGGGGGGTGGGGGGATGAAACCTTAATCTTGTTTGTCCTTGCTGGTACATAAACTTTCTTTCCCTATCTTAATTGAAAGGCAGAGCTCCTGCCATTGCGTTCAAAAAAAAAAAAGAGGTTTGTGTTATTGGTTCTTGGAGGTGACTGGTTGAGTGTGCGTTGACATGTGGGCCAAGACATAGGTGAGTTGGATAGCTCAAAGGTTGCATGTGCTAGGTCTCATTTTATGTCCTAGCGAACTGTACGGTGCCCATGTTAGACCGTTTGTTAGAGCACTACTCTGATTGAACATCTAACTCAACTGGTACATCACCTATCAAACCATCTTCCAAAAGCCATTCAACAACTCAACTGGATTGTCCATTATCATTGCATAGAAAATGCCCGCTTTAGTAATACTTAGCATTTAGATTTTGCAAATAAGATTTTTTTATGATGCAAGACTCTTGATAATCATGCTTAACAATGACAAATGCATATTGAGTCATTAAAAAACTATTTTTTTCTAATTATTTTGTTATATTAGATAGAAAAAGAGGGCCATGCTATAACGCTACTCCAGTACTTGGTGCATGTAGTAAGGGTTTGTTTGGGACAGCTCCAAGTGCTCCGGATAAGAAAAAAACAACTTCAAATTCGATTTTTTACCCAAACACTTTAGCTTATAAGATCCAAATCCATAAAAAGTCTAGATCTAGGGGCAAGATCCATGGATTTCTTGGAGCACCTCAAAGAGATGCTCCAAAAACTCATGAATCTCCAGAGCTGGCCAAAATTACCCACAATGGAAATCTATTCCAATATGTTTGGGAACCGGTTTCTGTAGTCTATTCCAGTACGCTTGGAAACCGGATTATGTACCATTTGTTGGACGCACGTGATATTCTGACTCATATATCATATATAAGTATATATAGTGAGTTTGAGTCACGGATGTGATAGTAAACCAATTATGACTCTTATCTCTAGTTCAGCATGTACTATTACACTTAGTAAAATCGGGTAGGACTCTTGTACCATTAATCTTAGTAAAACCGACCAAAACTCTTATATGCTAGAAGAGTTGAGGAACTAATTAATTGAGAACCTATAATGATCGGCAGTCACTGCTAACAAGCATCCATATGTTAACGACTAAGCTAGATATCTATAGGAAGTTCTTGATGGACTCCTCAAGCTCATTCACGACGGCCTTCCAGCCGGCATGCGTCGGGTTGATGTCGCCCCAGTAGTAGTATTTCTTATCCGGTGTGGGGCACAAGACGTACATGGCGTCGCCGTCCTCCATCTGGCCACAGTGTCCACTCTGGTCGTAGATCTCTCAGCAATATGGATCCAGCTTAATTATGCTTGAACTTCTTCGATTGGAAAGAACCTGCGATTTGGATTGGAGTTTTTAGCTAGTGTTCAGTTGACAGAGTTGAAAAAAATATTTTTTATAGCTAAACGTTGTAGTATGTAGTATGTACCGGAACCGGAGGTGAGGCGCTTGAACATGGTTGCCAGTCGAGGTTGAATTTCATCTTTAAACACCGTCTGGCTGCCGCAAGTGCTGTAGTCGCTGGACCTCGACAGCCACGGCGTGCAGCCGATAGGGGGCAGCGTGCTCAACATCACCTTCTCCACATCCAAGTCCATCAGCTGCTCCACGGCGTCTGCGATCTTGTTTGTCACGTCTTGGGCCATGGCATTAATCTCGGAGCTGGTCGATCATTTCTTGTTGACGCGTGCAAAGCCGTGTTTGCCGAAGAAGGCGATGAGCGCAACAGAATCGGTGAGGTCTTTGTCGATGATGTCGTGCCTGACCAGCCTCGAAACTTGTCGACCTGAGTGCCGAGCTTGGGTGCCTCGTGCATCCCCTCCACGACGCCGGCGCCGCCGCCGACGAAGTTCATGCCGGAGGGTCGATCCCGTCTTGCTCCCTATTCCTTTCCACCAGAGGAGACTCGTCCAGCCCCAGAATCCTCGCTGCACGTACCCAAGAAATCAGGCAGGACCAATCCGTTGGAGATAATATGTTGCCTAATTTCTATTTGTATTTTTTCCTATTTGAGTTAGGATTCCTATTCAGCTTACTTACGATCGGAGAGATCTATTTGGATTTTGATTTATGTAACTATCTTGGTTACCTTAAGAACTTCTGTCCAATACGTATCATATAAAACATGGGAGTTGTAGAGATACAAACAATTTCCATATTTATGGAGTTAGTTAGGGGAAGATGGAAAAAAAATAGATAGACGAAAAAAATGGCTGAAAATTTTCTCTCTTTATTATTATTATTAGGGAGGGATAGATGTTTCCGTTGCCGAACCCATCGTAGGCGCTATGCCGTGCTCCGAGCCTGACGAGGAGCTTCGATGTGCCGGACCTCCTTCCATGCGCCGCGCCACCCCCGCTACACTTCTCTCCCTCCACGCCGTGTAGAGCCGTCAAGGAGGTCTGAAGGTGCTGTGACGGTCGAGCTCCATGCTTACCGAGGAGCTCCGCCGGCCTTGTGCCTCCCCACCGCCGGCCGCACGTGCATTCTTCAACGCCAGCCATGCATGCTCCTCACCCCACCGCCACCCGCACGCGCCACACGCCCCCCACCGTCGGTCGCACGCGCCGCCCCACCCCGGCCCACAGTCGCGCGCTTCTTCTTAGACGGTGGCCGCGCCGCGTGCGCGCCTTGCCCCACCGTCAGATGTGGGGGCATAGCCCTCCTGACGCCGGGCGCGCGTGGGTCGTGCGCGCCCAGCTCCGCCCCACCACACGCACTCAGCTCCCTCGAGTCCGGTCTGCAAGCTTTAGGAAGGGCATGAGTCGGACGCGCGGGCCCAGGGTGACATCAGCAAAAACTTTGTATCATATCATATGTTTACTTGCCATGGAGCTCTCTCAAACATTTTTCCGGATCCTTTCTCCATGGCGGACTGTAGATTTGGATCCTATTTTTCGTAGTTGGAGCTGTCCCAAATGATAAAGATGCCTGAGTTTAGATCTCGCGCCATTTGAAGCTAAGGGGCTAGTCAAATCTATTACATAATCTATACATAATAATAAAGAGGTAAAATTTCTGGTCATTTTTTTCGTCCATCCATATTTTTGGTCCGTCTTCCTTTAAATACCGAACAATGAAGAGTTTTCTTTGTCCAGACTTATATATATATATAACCCGTGCTCCTACGAGTTAGAATAGATCACATCTAGGTGATCTAGCTATAATCCATACGGGATTCGATTCCAAGGCGTATTCCGTCGTCACATGACACGAACTCTGTTCTGTTCGTTCGTGTCTTTTCTTCTACTATGTAGTGTGTCCGTGCGTTGCTACGGGACAACTAACAATTTATACTAAAAACACACAGATCGCACGATAAGATAACAATACTGTTAAATTAAATACCAACGTTAAAGTGACATTTAATCCAAAAAGCAAAGTTTATGAATTTAACACGGTCACGGAGTGCGCGGCGTCGCAGGCTTACAAACTCTAGAGCTTTCAGAGATTGGATCAAATCCAACCTAGAGCCTCGGAACCCTGCATCTTTTCCTGGACGGGCTTCACTTCGGATGCGCCGGTAGCAATATCAACGATCTCCAGTCGATGGACCAAGTCGTATGGATCCCCATACAATGACTCAGACATATAGATTTGTTCTCCTTGTACTTGGATACACTTATTCCACTGAAGCTTTCATTGAAATGTTTAGACACGAATAGTGTCTGATCACCGATGTCCCTCATCCTGGACCACTCCGACGTACGGTCGTGGATGTTGCACTTGTAGATCGCGCTGCTATAGGTGAAGCTCTGTGTCTCGTAGAACGTGCTCACCATGGCACCCACAATGTGCAACTCACCGTTTGATTCCAGGTAGTTGCGGTGGCAGAGCCCCGCAGGTGGCGACAGCGATGGCAGCAGCGTCGTGGTTGGAGTAGCGCCGGCGGCGTTGCTGCTGCAGACGGAGATTTCTCCAGTGCAGTCGATCGCCAAGAACTTGTCTTGGTAGTGGACGATGGACCCCACGGAGAACTCTAGTTTGGTGTCGAGCAGCGTCCATGCGTTGTCGACTCCAACCCGACAGAACGCAACCTCCGTGGAGCACCCAAGCATGGCCATGGCTACGCACTCGTGGCCGGCAGTGTCAGACGGCGCCGAGAGCACGATTTCACGGAAGAACACGTCCCTCATGTCTTCTAGCTTGATGGCTCTACCCGCGGCATCCGCGTCCCCGTAGCCGTTGGTGGGATGGAGGATCCACCGGTCGTGGACCCTAGACACGCGTTCCGATGAGGACGCCGCCGCGACGTGTTCGTCTGCTGGCGGGAGCTCAACGCGGGGGCACGGGCACCGTGCGAATGGATTCAGCAGCGTCACGGACGCCGCCTCACCCACACGAGGAGCCGCACGCCACCTTGCCGCACACGTCGGGCAGCGTCTTGGACAAGAGCTTCTTCTCCAGGACGCAGTAGAAGCCGACGCGGTCCGAGTCGGGGTCGAACGGGAGCAGCAGGAGCGGTCCGAAGGTCGTGAACGGGACGGCGGCGCGCCATGGGGAGAAAGCGGATCGAAAGGACGCCGCGTCGTGGCCTGACGCGAGACGCTGCCCGATGGACTCGAGGAGATCCTCTGGTAGGCCGGATCTCCAGTCAGGGAGAGGTAGGAACCTTCTCTTAGGATTGGAAGTCTGAACCATGGAAGACAGATGACATCAGCTATGGTTCACGCAAGAAACAGCAAGGGAAGGCGATGGAACACGTGAGCGTGAAACTAAATGAAAGGAGGAAAAAGTTGTCCATTTTGCAAATGCAAAGAGAGGAAGTAATTAAATGTAGACAGATTTGACGAGGTTCTCAAAAATACAAAGAGGTTCCTTTTGTCTTAATTCTCTTTTCTTCTGTGTTAATTCTCTTTCTTTTTACTCGTTGTCATGTATGCTGGTGCATGTAAACATGTAATGTGTATATGGATAGCACAATAATTTTCTACTTTCTATTTTGCCGTGATTCCTCTATCACATAACAGGCAATATTCAATCAAGGAGAATGACACGATCAATCAGTAATTAAGATGTCATGGGATCGCAGGCGTGAGGAGACGGACAAACCAGAATAAATGTCGCACAAAAAAATATCCATACTTTGTTCTTTTTAGTTGTAGGAGATCTATATACGTGTATTATAATGCAAAAGGTAAAAAAGACCAAGGCGTATAAGAATAGGAAACAAAAGAAATAACCAAGACAACATATATACCAATCCAGAACATAACTTCTTTGGACGGAAACTAATCAAATCTTGAGTTATATATGGAGTTGTACACATTTTCCGATTAAATAAAATAAGGTACATCCACGCATCGATGCAACGACTTTTTGGTTGCCAAAAAAGAAACGTGATGGAGTCAGATATGTGGGTGAGGCGGACATGCGATCTACTCGTCGAGATCTTCCGCCGCCTAGGGCAACGCAGTCGTCGGATGCGCCGGCGCTTGCACCGAAAACGGAACGCACATCGCTACACGGAGCTGCAGCACGTGCCGGGACTGTTTGAGAACGTAATTACCTCGGACACTGCCGACACGACGGTCCGATTTTTCACACCGGCGGCCACCGCGTGCGGCATTGACATCAGTATGTACGCCACTGTCGGTTCCGCGTGACGGGTTCTTGCTCCTAGGCGGGTGCAACCCGTTGACTAGAAGCTGTAGGTTTCCTCCCCGCCGCCGAATTGAGTGCGGCGTCTGGTGAGTCGTCGTACATCGGGTATGTTCTGGCCACATGCTACGAAGATTCCCCATCCGATGGCGGCCGCGGCGGCGAGTCGGCGGGAGTATGGATGCTCGCAGTGGAGACGGCACACAACCTCAAGGGCGGCATGACCTACCAGTTCTTCTCCTCTAGGTCCGGCGCGTGGGGCCCATTCAAACGCTAAGTTGAACGGGTCCGGGACCAGGCATACTGTCAAAAGACGTGGTCATCTGCCGTGGCGGCGTGTACTACCTCGATCATCATGGGAGACTAAGGTCCTGTTTGTTCACTTGAGCTACTTTTCAATTATATAATAGTGTTTTTTTTCTCATAATATTTCAGTATAAATATCAGCATAAATTAAATTTCGGCATAAGCGAACGGGGCCTAAGCTGGTGCACGTTCGCCAAGGACATGCACACCGAACGGACGTGGAGGGGGTGTTTCGTACGTCGGGGTCTCAGGAAAAGTGTCGGCCTTGCTCGTGGATCCTGATGTTCGGTGTTCAGGGTAACTTTTTTTTTTTGTCATGTGTGGCTTTTTTTGTTTTTTTCGATTAAGTAACTCTTTCTTTTCTTATAGAAAAGGTAAATAATAAATAATAAATCAGTATTACGTGTCTTTAAAACTTTGGCTCTTAACTAATAAACAAATATCCCTCTCGTTAAGTTGTTGATATAGATTTGGTTAGACATAGTTATTATTATAATCTAAATCAGTAGATGGCCTAACTAATTAAAGCATAAACTGAAAATCTAATCAAAATAAATATTTCTCATAGCTGCCCGCATATACCAGTGCAAATCTCAAAGCCGTCCCGCATATGCCAATGCAACTCTCAGCGAGGGCTGACATGTGGAAATCTAGAGAGGTATCGATCATACTCGGTACTCATCAACGGATAGACCAATTCTTGACACGAGAATGACTAACCCCTTACCGACTTTGATAA